CCATAACTGAGACAACACGATTCTTCGTTATTAAGGCTCCTGAACCATAACTGAGACAACACGATTCTTCGTTATTAAGGCCCCTGAACCATAACTGAGACAACACGATTCTTCGTTATTAAGATAATATAGATTGCATAAATAACTATAACTGAATTCCACAAGACAGTGGGACTGACCTTTCGATGGTAGATGCTAGTATCCAGAATAGTTAACCTTTCAGTTTTATTTCTTGTGATATATTGCATTTATCTCTGTAATTGTAGTCAATAAAGAGAATTCACCAAATACTAATATGACTGTAGAAGTCAAGGTAACACTGTGGCCTTTTTTGTTTTTGCTTAATAATAATGATAAAGTTATAAAGATTTATAGGCCTTGCACTTTGCTAAGTTCAATGGCATGGATTTAGTTGTGCAAAAGGTCATACTTCAAGTAATGATTTCCAAGACATAAATTAACTGTTTGTTTATTTTTTGTTACGGTTTGGCTAATTTTTGAGTCATGGTTTTTTTAGACAGCTTGAAATAAAATCCAAGGCAATTGATAAATATAACATGCATTAAAGCAATTTGTTGCTGAGCAAAATCAGGCTAGATTTTTAAGACGAATATGAGGCTCATGTTTGTTACAAGGGAAACGAGCCATGTAGTTGTAGTTGGAAATAATTAAGTTTAAGCATAGCAGCTTCTTGATAATACTAAAAAATGGTTCTTAACCATATATATAAAAAAAAATAAGAGTACTGTACATTGCCTGATATAAATTTAACAAATTACATTCTTCTTTCCTCAGATGATGATGATGGTGATGATGATGCTGGGCCACCAATGAAGATTCCCAAGTCACCCTTAGAACGATGGGAAGAGTCCCTAATGACCTCAACCAGCATTCCTCAACTCTTTGTTCATCTCTCTACATTAGAAAGAAGTGTAGCATGGTCAAGGTCAGTACTAAAAGCATACTGTCGTATCTGTAGACGCCGTAAAGATCCAGAATTGATGCTCCTTTGCGATGGATGTGACAGAGGCCATCACATTTACTGTCTAAAACCAGTGTTAAAGGTAATTTTCGTAAAATATTTCCTGTTTGTATCAAGGAAACTTCATATTATGTAGCTGAAATTTGGATTTAATTATTTTATGTGAAACATATTATCTAGAACGCTACTGAATCATATATAATGTTGATGAAGATTCATTATTGAACACAGATTTTTTTTCTTCCAAATTATCTCTCTATCTATTATTATTCATAATCCGGTGGAATGTTAGAATTGCACTTACGTGGAGGGCAGTCATATCAAGAATACATTCAGATTGACTCAATTTCCAATACTGCTCAGCTTGTTCCACTTTGCAATAACTTCGTATTGGAGATTATAAAACATGACTGACTTTTACCTGTGTAATACCAAATATATTATGGCTTCAAAGGCTTTGCCTCCTTGAAACCCCCACTGAAGCTTTGCATTTCAACACAAAAGGGGGAGGGATCTCTCATACCCCAGGCTTTCCTCAAAGTTTCTGTCATGGCAGTTTCACTAAACTTTCATCCATGATTAACTGTAGGAACCATGTGTTAGTTTAACAATTTCTAGTTTATACTGCAACAAGATGCAACATCTAAACTGTAATATTAACTGTGGGAACCATGCGTTAGTTTAATAAATTCTAGTTTATACTGCAGCAAGATGCAACATCTAAACTGTAACATTAACTGTGGGAACCATGCATTAGTTTAACAATTTCTAGTTTATACTGCAACAAGATGCAACATCTAAACTGTAATATTAACTGTGGGAACCATGTGTTAGTTTAACAATTTCCATAATTTTCAGTCTGTACTGCAGCATGTCCAACATCTGCTCTGACTTTATATTGAGGATCCAATGCTGTTAGAAACTTTCCAACTTTTTTGTTTTTCTTTGTCACAAGTCTCACTTTTGGCTGAATTATTAGTTTCGTGAATATGATTGGAATTGAATGTTATTTTTATTCATATATGTATATTACCTGTTCTTTCCAAAACATTTCTTTAAGAACAAATTGCCAGCCTAAATTAAATTGCTTAAATGTTTGCATAGTTTGTATTATTTCAGTTAAGCAAATATCAACAGTGACAACTGTTTATTTGAAGTCTTCAAATGAAAATTTTTTCTGTTTCTGATTCACTCTATTTGTACACGTATTTAAGATATACTGTTACATTTCATAAAAACCTTGCAGGAACTTAATGAGTAAATTCAAGACAGAAAAATGTGTATGTTATGTGTGAATATGATTTTTTTGCACAAAAAAATCTCATTTTGATATGTATCCATCAATAGATTAAAAAATTATTGGTTTAAAGAAATGTTTTGTACTATACAGTTAATTTATTTTATTTGTTTTTGTATTCCTGTATTTTATGTATGTTAGATATTTTGGTTAATGTAAAAACTTTTTTAGGGAGGGGATTGAATTTTTACAATTATTACAAAAAACAAACAATGTTAAACTGACATATTTATTTAGGAAATCCCTAGTGGAGACTGGTTTTGTCAAAACTGCAAACCAAAAGAGAAACCACCAACTCCGCGTAAGCCAAGAAATTTTTTTGTTGAAGAGGAGGAGGATGAAGACAGTGATGTATCTTCTCATGAGTCTTCCAAAGATTCTGATGAAAGTGATGATAGGTTAGTTAATAGGTTTTAGCAAGAGTTATTGGAAACAAATAATTAGTGTTAAGTTTTAACCCTATGAAACCGGGCATCATTTACTATGCATGTTACGAGGTTTTAGTGTCTTACATTCAAAATTTTATTAAACTACTTT